TCACCACGTAAGCACCAGCTAAGGAAACAACACGAAGCAAGCTCGGCAGCACTACAACAGGCAGCAGCAGTGGAGTACATTTGAAACCAGGGAACATCGCAACGAGCGGGATGTCGCGAGGCCCAGTCGAACACCTAGCAACACAACCCACGTCCAAAGCCACGCATCCTCCTAGGTATCGGGCTCGTCATCGTCGCCATCATCTGCGACCGCGGGGGCCGGAAACGGGTGAAGGGGTGGAGCCATCGGTGAAATGTCCTCCAGCCCGTCCTCGGAGATAATGACAGAGCTGCCCTGGCGAAATGCCCACGCACGGGCATTAGGGTCCCACCACGGCCCAGTAGCCGCAGTGCTCGCCATAATGCTCCGACGGGCCCACTCGACCACGCGATCGTGGTACCAGCGCACCGCCTCCTCGTTCCGCGGCGCCGACCGTGGCATCTGTGTGCCGTTGATCAGCGGATACTCCACCTGCAAACGCCTCCCATACATGCGTCAGCGTGCATGACTTAAGAAACGCACAAACCCACAACAATGCCAAGCTCACCACCGTGATACCACTCACCCCGTAAAGCCAGAAGGCTATGACATAGGTCCGCAGGACGAGAGGGGGAGGGCTGGCGCGGCGGAAAGACTTGTAGATACCCCTCTCAAATGAGTCGGCCGCGAAGGGTAGGCCGTTGTGAACATGCCATGCGAGTAGCTGAAACGTGCCAGGCCCTGCGGAGTTGGGGTTGAGCAACAAGAGAGCACTCGGAGGTTAGGGAAGGATCCTATACAACCATCAGATACCCCAAAACGCGCGATGTTAGCAGCTGCGTACGTCACGTAGTAGTTACTACCTGCGCGATGACGGCCTACGAAGTCCTGGCGGGAGACTTGTGGGACCCCGTTAGCAGCCATGTCCGAAGGCACCGCCACCCGAGAGAAGGCCGGGGGTTCATAGGGCAACCCGTTGAGTACGTAGACATACGCCCTTCCCTGCTCCCAGCGAGTGTTACGAAACACCTGCATCTTGCGAATGAACCACCCCGACCGAGACGCGTTGTTGGTCCACACTAGGTGAAGCTGTTGACGCTGTGCCCTTGTGCGGAGCCGAAGAGCACGAGCCATCGTGGCTTCGATGAGTAGCGGGGACGGCCAGAATGACATGCGCCCAACACGCGTGGCGTAAACGAGCAGCACAATCCCCTCCCCAACTGCGTCCTGAAATTGCGTAAGTAAGAGAAACAGGCTGTCAAGGCTTCGCAAACAACCACGCATCCGCTCAAAAAACATGCGGTGCAACGGACAATATCAGTGTCATTGGTACCTTCAGGCCATTCAAGAGCCCAGGGATGACCTTGTTCGCGATTTCGAGATTGTCCGCCCATATCACCAGCTGCTCGGTAGGAGGGCCATGCCTGCCACGCACGATTGCAGTCTCCCTAGCGAGGGCCTGGGCCACGAATGGTGTGCGCACGCGCTCATGCTGCGGCTCCGCGCCACGTTCAACGACAGTCGGGTTGCTCTCGCGCTGGCGAGTCGTTGCTGGCGCCCTGTTGCGCTGGCGGCTGGTGGCTGGCGCCGTGTTGCGCTGACCTTGGATGTCAGCATCCCCTTCCGCGACGTTGTTGGTGGCCGTACGGCGTGCCTCACGGAGACGGGCGTTGAGCTCGACTATCTCCAGCTCGCGGGCGCGAAGGCGAGCAGCCATTGCCGCGTTCATGGCTGGGGCTGGTGCAGGCGCAGCAGCAGGGACGTTTACGCCCCCAGTCGCGGCCACGGTGGGGCCACGTCCGCCTGGCGCGGTGACGGCGGGAGTCACTGGTGCAGCATGGCTCAGCTCCGTAACTGGGCGCTGCATCGCTCGCGCCGCTGTCGACATCAAACAACAGCACTGTTAGCAAAAGTGAGTAACAACGTCAAAACGTCCAGCGTGCATGTTTAGGACCGTGAAACCACTCAAACACGCACCCTCCGCGTCCTCATCGACGAGTTCGGTTGGGGCACCTTCTGACGCCTCGCCAACGTCGTCGTCTTCTTCCTGATTGGCCGCCCACGTCGCGTACCCCGTGGTCGCGGAGTTGGTCATTTCATCGTCAGAGTCCTCGCCGGCCGTTGCTGCGCTGCCGGTACGTCCATTGTTGGCACGCGAGGCGGCGCCGTAGTAAACCATGTCCCGGTCAAGTGCTCGTTGTCCCGCGTTCATCCTGCCAGTTCGGCGCATCGTGTCGTAAGGCGACCTTGCGGAGTCCATCGTTAGCAAAGCTCAACAATGCCTACGTTTGCCTTCTTGAGTACATTGAATGTTTCCAACGGGACCCTTCTTATAGGGAGCTTACGAGCACTGTGGTCCCATGAACACAGTTCGCTACCACTTTCACAGCGTGGCTTGCGCCTTATCCTTACGCCCTCACCTTCAATACTATTGAAGTAGTACTTCCATCACCCCCTGCATGCGTGTGTACACATCACCACTTACCCCCAGTTACGTAGGCGTGTCGTGCGCAGACGCGCTGGCACGAGGGTTGCGTCTCGCCCATTTATCGTGATCCGATGGAACCATCACAAGCCTATCACGCATGTTCGAACCTTGCGTTGTCAGGATATTTGTGATAAGATTTCCTTGAGCCACGCTGTCATGCTGGCCTATGGGCGACGACACACGCATGAACGATCCACGGCACGTGTGTGCGCCACTGGCGCCTTGGGGTCCGGCGTGCAAGGGAACGCCCTTCCTTGCTGGGCCTACAGTTAGTAACTGTTCCACTGAGCGTGACGCAATAGACTTTAGGTTCGTAATCCGCCCTACTCTTTTCAGAACCATGATGGTGTTTTTTACACACTGAGTCTGGCTGTCGTGCATTTTTATAACTAAGATCGGCCCAACTTCAATAATATTGCATTACACCCCGCATATGCTGTCAGGGTTGCGCGAAGTACGCATTTAGGACTACCCTACGGGTGCACATATGGACAGCGCTCGTCGCTGCAGTCCCTGTTCAAGCACCAGTCTCGGTCAATTTTGAAGTCGTCATATTGCTGTGAGACGAGCCTGAACACCACCGGCCCATCACAAATAGTCGGCGCTTCCCAGGGAAACTTGCAGTAATGCCACTGCACCGTGCACACCAAGGATCCCGCCGCCTCACGCGGCGGTATTTCCCACCACGCCATCATGCCAAGCACGTGCGCAAGCACCCCAGCTCCCATACCATCCGCACCGCCAATGTGAGAACCCTGCTGAAACTTGTCAGGTATTCGTCCCGGAAGTTTCGCGTGTTTGAAATCCTCACGCGCGTCGGGAGCCCCGACATAGTTGTAGAAACCTCTGTCGAGCTGCATGCGTGAAAATCCGAGCGAGGCATCGGTTCAAGAAGAAAGCACATGTCAGGATTCACAAAAGCCAGTCAACTCACATCGTCTTCTACACAAGAGGCTCACGAAGGGTCAAGAATTCCTTAAACACAAGGCCTAACAGAAGCCTTACCACCCATCCTTCAGAATGCGCGAACTCCATGAGGTAATGACGAAAATCCTTCCTTGGCGGCTCGGTGGCAACGATTTCGTCGCCGTTCAAGGCCAGGACGTTGACGCCATGGTACCCTGATGCCGCCAACTCCACAAACGCCTTAGCACGTTCGCGAAGTGATGCAGGGTCCCTGTCGTCGTTGAAAACTGCCTCAATGACGCGGATGTCAAGGTATGTGAGGTCAGCATCGTGCTCCAGCCCACGGAACTCTCGCAGATTGTCTTCCGAGATGCGACGCAGCTTCCATGCCGCGGCGCGGCTATTAGTTACCAGGTGCTCAATGCTGTCCGCAATCTTTTTGGGAGTCGGCTGCTCGTCACTGGCCAGCAATCGCGAGTATTCAGCTTGCATCACAACAGCTGCAATGTCGGGGTAGTCGCGCACAAACACGTGAATGTTACCAGGCCTCGTTTTGGCTGTCCTTGTGCGCGGCCACGTCGGGCCCTGGTATCGGCTGTACGGCTCGGTGTTGTCTCGGTCGCGTGCACACCGCCAGCGTCGCTTGTTGTTGTTCATGGTTCCCAAAACGAACTGGGACGCGGAGGATGCCATAGCTTAAAGTGAGTGGGTGTGTGAGAACTTGCAGAGGACGAATGAGTAGAAAATGCGTTCCTTGCCTTTGCAAAATGCGTTCTTGAGATTGCAAGATTTGGCCCGCATGTCTCGTTATTGCACTACAAGCTGCTGTGTGTTTAGGCCATGTCCTGCTGTAGAAACAAATAGCACCTTCCGAAATTCGGCGAGCTTGGTGTATCGGAAGAAATATCCGTTACACGCTTGGTGAGGTGTCACTACAATCGGAATGATTGTGCGGGTCATATGAAACCCTATACAGGTCAGCGCACGCATTCCATCTCACTTGAAGGAGTGTCCAGCGCTGGCTCAACTTAGTATCTAGATTTTTAGTAGGTGCCGGGCAGGAAAACGTGCCAGTCGCGTCATCTGGCACAGCCTACAGTTTGTACTATACGCCTTCGAATCTTGTGGAGTCTCATCGTCGACTTGACATTGGCTTACCCGACGTTGCGGCATCTTAGCGAGCACCAGATTCGTCACTAATATACTGCCTGACGTGGCTTGGATTACTGCGAGAAGAGGCTCGGGGCGCGGAGTTTATCGAGGCTTAGCCCGCCCTGGAAGGCATCGTCACGCAATAGGCGCGTCAACCGTGTGTCTAACCGTCTGCGGCTAACGGGATAAATGTGGCCTCAAAATATGTGCATTTCATCAAACAGAGCATGCAAGGCGAGCTGCTGCGATGCCGCCTGTATCTTACCTTTTTGCCTGTGAATGGTGCCTCGAGCACTTCACGCAACGCACAGCGCTGGTAGCTCACAAGCTGCATAGTCACGAATGCCGTAGGCAACGCAGGCGGTACTTTCGGTTCCTCCGTGCCAACCCCTTCGCTGACATCAATGACTATTTTGCCGAGGCATCTCTGACTGCCGAAGACGAGCCGACATCCGATGCTGAAGATGAGGGAGACATGGAAGAGGTGAGCCCATTCATGTGTAATGTTGCTGTATAGGTTGGGCTTTCACTGCACGCATGTGAGTAGCAGACTTAACCAAGTCCGGCCTTTATTCCGTTTCCGTGCAGGGCTCTGAAGGCCAACCCCCCGGCGGTGCAGGCACCAACGAGGAAGTGCAGTCGGAGGATGGGTCTGACTGGGAGAGCGACTTCGGCGACGGTGATTCAACTGAGAGCGATGATGACGACAGCGCCGTCGACGAGAACGATTTCAACACAGCCTTGGAGTTCTTCCGCTTCGTCATCGGATGCAATGGCGGCCAAGGACTCAGCGACGAGGCCACGGTCTGGCTTTTCAAGCTCCTGCGCGACCCCCGCCTGGATCTGGAGGCTATTCGCCGCTGGCGTACCAAACACGCCGTCCTTCCGTACGGACTTCGCCTCATGATGGCGAGGCGGGTGTACAGGCAGGTGGAAGTGCGCATCCCAGGGATCGACCACACATTCGAGCTGATGTGTACCAGCCCTATCGAGGTACGATTTGCAATCAGAGTTTGCACTTGCCTCTGTCCACCCTTCCTTCAGTCAACACTTGCCTCTGTCCGCCCTTGCCTCTGTCCGCCCTTGCCTCATTACGCCCTTGCCTCATTTCGCCCTTGCCTCTGTGCGCCCTTGCCTCTGTCCGCCCTTGCCTCATTTCGCCCTTGCCTCATTTCGCCCTTGCCTCATTTCGCCCTTGCCTCATTTCGCCCTTGCCTATGTCCTCCCTTGACACTGTCCACACTTGCTCCGGCGCAGGGAGTCGTGGAGATATTCGGCCACCGTGACAATGCAGATGGCTTCCAGCTGTTTGCCCGTCCGGTACACTCGGTGGCGGGACGCGTGTACACAAGGCCGGAGACTGGTCTTCTGTGGGAAGCCGCACAGGTACGGGACTGTGTTTCTGGGTTGTACACCCTTTGTAACTAGTTTAAGGCGTTTCTCATCTGGGTTTCTCCAAATGGGGCCGGCCACAAATCACAAAACTGTTTCCCACGTTGCTCAGTTATTGTGTTGATCTGGAACGAAGCTGCCCTTGTTGTGTTTGTTGTTGGCAGAACGCCCTGGACGAGATCTATGGCCCGGGCCAGGTGGTGGCCCCCATCATACTTTCAAGTGATGCTACGATTCTCAGCGGGAACGAGCGCGTGAAGGTTTGGGCGGTTTACCTAAGCATCGCCAACATCCACCTCCGTCTCCGTTGGGGTGATTCGGGGAAGATTCTGCTTGCACTACTCCCAATGCCTGTCCATGGAATGACGGCCGAGCAGAAGGTGCAGCTCTTTCAAGCTCCGATGCAGGTGGTCCTCGCTGACCTGATTGCCGCATCACACACGTGAGTGCCAGCAGCCATTGGCCCAGCCAAAGCCGCAGTCCGCCCTTCACTCAGTGTTTTTTTATTGATTTAACACGCCCTTGGCTCTTTCCGTCATTGCGTCAATGTGCCCTTGGCTCTGCCCACCTGGCATCTTTCTGCCTTTGCCTCTCTTCGTCGTTGCCTCAATACTCCCTTGCTACAGGGGGATTGCGGCCCGCGATCCATGGGGGGTGGACCGGGTCATATGGCCTCTGCTCTTCTCGTACGTAGCAGACTTCCCAGAAACCTGCAAGGTTTCGTGCACTCAGCAGCATGGCAGTCATATGCCATGCTCCCTGTGCTACGTGGATAGGGGGCAGCTCAGGAACATGACGGCAGCTGCGTCGGAGTCGCGCTCTGTGGACCAGCAATCGTCACTGATTGCCAATCCTCGGCTGGCCAGGACGTACTCCACGCTATGTGTCGCGGTATGTATCGGCTCTAAGTTGGAGGTTTGCGCCTGTCGTGGCCTGGTTGTTCAGCCCATGCGGTAGGCACCGTGTTTACGTCGTTTTTGCTCTGTGCATGCAGTCGTTCCTCTGGGAGTGGAACTTCTCCCGTACACTTTGGGGGAACACCTACCTCTCCCAGATGCCAGACATCCTACACATCATCTACCTCGGGTTCTGGCTGTACCTTCGCGCTGCACTGCGTGGCCCTGATTCCCGCGCCACCACCTTAGACAGGTACGTTTGCCCCTAGGCATTTGCTAGGCGGGTGTCCAGCTCGACTGTCCGCCCTTGCCACTGTCCGCCCTTGCCTCTGTCCGCCCTTGCCTCTGTCCGCCCTTGCCACTGTCCGCCCTTTGTCTATGTCCGCCCTTGCCACTGTCCGCCCTTGCCTCTGTCCGCCCTTGCCTCTGTCAGCCCTTGCCTCTGTCCGCCCTTGCCTTTGTCCGCCCTTGCCTCTGTCCGCCCTTGCCTCTGTCCGCCCTTGCCTCTGTCCGCCCCTTGCCTCTTCCCGCCCTTGCCCTGTGGGTACTTGCTCTGTCCGCCCTTGCCTCTGTCCGCCCCTTGCCTCTTCCCGCCCTTGCCCTGTGGGTACTTGCTCTGTCAGCCCTTGCCTCTGTCCGCCCTTGCCTCTGTCCGCCCTTGCCACTGTCCGCCCTTTGCCTCTGTCCGCCCTTGCCTTTGTCCGCCCTTGCCTCTGTCCGCCCCTTGCCTCATCCAGCCCTTGCCCTGTGGGTACTTGCTCTGTCCGCCCTTGCCTCTGTCCGCCCCTTGCCTCTTCCCGCCCTTGCCCTGTGGGTACTTGCCTCTGTCCGCCCTTGCCTCTGTCCGCCCCTTGCCTCATCCAGCCCTTGCCCTGTGGGTACTTGCTCTGTCCGCCCTTGCCTCTGTCCGCCCCTTGCCTCTTCCCGCCCTTGCCCTGTGGGTACTTGCCTCTGTCCGCCCTTTGCCTCTGCCCGCCCCTTGCCTCTTCCCGCCCTTGCCCTGTGGGTACTTGCTCTGTCCGCCCTTGCCTCTGTCCGCCCTTGTCAAAACGCATTTGCCTAATGTGATGCAACCTCACGAGGTCAAACCCACTGCGATTGGTGCCCAAGATGTCTCCGGCATTGTTTCACTATTGCTTGCTTTCGTTGCTATCAACATTCTTCATATGGTGCAGGCGTCAGAATGCACTACACCCAGGCGCCAGGCAGGCGGGACTGCTAACTCCTGGAGACGCGAGCTACTGGGTCTCTGGTGCCAACTTCACTGCGTCGGAGCATGCCGCTGTCATGATGGTGCGCCCCTACCTTCTAGTTTATGCTCTCGTACGAGTGCCCAATGCACGTGACGGTTGTCAGATGGCATTTGCTGACTACGCGCTTCCTGTGTGGCAGATTGTACCATTCGTGCTGGAGGGGGAAGTTGAGGTCATTTGTAGCCGCACGATTGTCGCCTTTCTGGACTGGCACGAGAATTTCGTGCGGGCTGCGGAGCACACGGATGAGAGTCTGAGTGCATTCGACACTGCCACTCGCAGGTATGCTGTGTGTGAGCTTGTCCTCAAGCGCTGCAGTTGCCGCCAGCGTTATGCGGGAGTCTAGTCTAATGCTTGACACTTATTCTCTTTGTTTCCGTGCTTTCAGGATGGTGCAGTTGGTGGAAAGCACCTTTCCACGCGAGCACTCTGGGTGGAACCTTGTGAAGGTGCACCTGCTGCTTCACCTTACTGAGGCGATTCGAAGGGGGGGCCTGCCACGAGAGTACTCCGCGGCGGTGTACGAGAACGCACACATCCGCACCTGCAAGAGGCCGTACCGACGGTCCAACCATCGGGACGTGGGGCGTGTGATTGCGCAGCACAACACCAACGCTGCTCTACTGACCCGTATCCCAACCAACCTCGAGGGCAACCGCCAGTACAACACCGCGATGCGCCGGGTAAGGACGCATGTAAGGATCCCTAATGTGTGCTGTAATTATGCATGTCGGGTCATTCCGCCATTGCCCTTTGCCTCTGTCCCCCCTTGCCTCTATCCCCCCTTGCCTCTGTCCCCCCTTGCCTCTGTCCCCCCTTGCCTCTGTCCCCCCTTGCCTCTGTCTGCCCTTTGCGGTTGTCCCCCCTTGCCTCTGTCCGCCCCTTGCCTCTGTCCCCCCTTGCCTCTGTCCGCCCCTTGCCTCTGTCCGCCCTTTGCCTCTGTCCCCCCTTGAATCTGTCCGCCCCTTGCCTCTGTCCGCCCTTGCCTCTGTCCGCCCTTGCCTCTGTCCGCCCCTTGCCTCTGTCCGCCCCTTGCCTCTGTCCGCCCCTTGCCTCTGTCCACCCCTTGCCTCTGTCAACCCCTTGCGGTATGACTGAGGGGTGGTGATAGTTTAAAGGCTTGTGGGATGAAAGACGTTGTCTGGCCCCATTCGCCTGTTTGGCGGGTGCTGAGTTGCAGACCATGTGTTTATTTGTCCCCCCACACCCACATGTCATCACACTGCAGGCAATCGCCAGTGGGCTGCCCCAGCTGTGCCGCCAGCGATCCAGGATGCACAGCGCGATCACGGACAGGGAGCAGGCTCCCCTGGACCTGTACGCGACGTACGATGCCGCAATCCCGGGAGGCATTGGGCCATACGCCTACTTGACGCGCCTCTTTGGCTACGTCTCTTTTCCGGCGTGGGTAAGTACTGGGTTCTGCTGCCCCCATGACAACACCATGCTCGCTCTCCTTTTCCACCATGTTTTTGAACGTACTACCACCCTGCCACGTCTCCTGCCCCCTTACCCCTCTCGTGCCATCAGGTCCACACGGCGCTGGCTCTACCAGCCCGCGGGACGGACCACGGCCTGATCAGGCCACACTATGTCCGCGCCAACCCCTCTCACCACGGTGCTGCCACATTCTCGTTCATTGAGTACGAGGATGGGACTGGGGAGACCGTGGTCGGCCGCGTGCACCTGCTCCTGACGCTGATGATGAACAGCGAGGATGCACACCCCGCGGGAGAGGCCGTGGCCTTCGTGAGGCAGTGGTACCCATCCCTGGAGGACGAGTGCACTGGCTGCATGAGGATGCGGCCATCTGATGACGAGCTGAGCTACGACCTTGTGCCGGTCGCCTCCGTGCAGAGGACCGTGCACATGGTGGAGTCGTTTGTGACGCCTGGCCTCTGGTATCTTAACAGGTGGGCTGGCCGATGCCGCGAGGAGTTGCCCTAAGGCCGCCCTGGAATATGCAGTGAATCAAGGTTCTTCTTTTGTGCTGGAATGATTGTCACCAAGCCTTCTCTATGGTTTGGTTGCTACTAGGAAAGTGGAGATGCGTGTCGGTACTTGCCTCTGAAATCTATTTCTTTCCAATTGGGTGTTATCGTAGCTTGGAGGGGTCCCTTGTGTGGCTAGTAGTTGGTGTGTGCCTTCATTTAATAATATTTTATTCTGATGGACGTGAAGTTTTTTGTTGAATCACAGGCACAAAACTATGTTTTTAACTCTTATCGGATGCTACAGTTTTGAGATGTTAACACGGAAGCTTGCAGAGCGTATACCAAACCCAGCTGGAGACACAATGTGAAAGGGGTTGCATTGGTAGTAGCTAGCGTGACAGTGCGCAGGCAATGCCTGGGTCGGAAAAATTGCTTCGGGAGTGCACACAGCTTTCGAAGCCATGCCCCAGCGCGCATGGCTGATGGATACGCCGGATGTTGACATGTTTTGGGCGTCCCGTTTTTTGTGACGAAGAGTTATAGGTTGTCGCTAAAAATGTAGGTTAATAGGTTGTTCAATTGCGTATAGATGGTCGGAGGACATTCTTGTAGCCTGCTGTTTCATCTGTGCTTCTTTGCTTCTCTGTTTTTACGCCAAAGGGGAACGACAAACGTACTTGTTCAAGGCGCCGGTGTTCCACCAGGTGTTGCACGCAGCTGCTCCTGACGTGGCGGCGGCGAACAGCAGAAGCGACATGATCTGTCAAATAACGAGGGATTTTGGATAGAAATAATAAAAATCTTTTGTACACACAGTAATCGGTTTTGGAGAATGTTTCAGGCATTCGATTGGCCAGTGACTTGAGTCCAGCCTCTCGATTTTTTTAGGCTGTCCAGCTGGGACCGCGGGACGAGTATGCGCGCGCCGCGGTTGCCTCACGTGAGTCTCAAAGGACCATTCGATGGACTCACGTAGGACTCGAAGAACTGCACGATGTCCACCATTTATTCGTATGACTCGATGGGCTGACATCACGTCAAGGATACGAATGATTCGCGTAGGTCTCAAGGGTTCGTAAGGATTCAAAACTCACGATGTCAAAAGACTCACGTACGACTCGAACGGACTCACGTAGGACTCGAAGAACTGCACGATGTCCATGATCCAGTCGTACGACTCGGAGCCGGCGACGCAGATGCGCACGGAGTTGTACACGAGCAGCATTACGGCGAATATGAACCCCAAAATCGTCATTCCCACCAGAAACGCGCCCGCGCTGTACGACGTTACTGTCGCCTTGGTCGCGAACAACAGACTGCCGCGGAGAATAAAGAAAACCGAGCAATCGAGGGGAAGAGGATTGTAAGAAAATAAGAAATATGGGCAGGAGGGGGATAAGCAACTTCACAATATTCTCTCGCGTTCCTGGCGATAAGCACGAAAATGTGAGGAGGTGAATGGAACTCGATCTGAGATTGAGAAAGGTTAATGATGCTGAGTTCATCCAAGCGACAAGCGCACCTGAAAGCGACAAGGCAGAAGAAAAAGATGCCGATGCGAAGGCCGAAAGGGAGCCACGTGTAAAGCGCGGAGCGCTTGTTGTTGGCGCAGCACCCCTCCGAATTGCTCGGCGCTGGCGCAGGCGCTGGCGCGGTGTACTGGGGTGGCGGTGGAGCGGCGTACAGGGACTGGGGCGGCGGAGCTGCGTTGAAACTCCCTGCATTCATGCCCTGCATGTTTGGAACCTGCTGCTGAGCCATTTCAAGGTATGGTCTTTCCTAGGAATTGCGGGAGGACGCCGAGTGTGGTCTCACGGAAAGTATTCCAACAGGGTGAAATAAACAGAGACTGAGGTGGCTTGTTTGGGAGAGCAGCGAGAGAAGCACGATGTAGCTGTTTGTGAAGTGCTTGAACGGCGAGGCTGGGAATTGTAGTGGCGCGAATAAACAACACAAGTGAATGCGAAAGCTGTGTGTGAGGTGAGGAGGGACAAGGTCGGACAGATGTACATCTGAATTGCTTGCTGTAGGGGGAACGCAAGAATGGTGTGGGGTTGGATGGGCGCCGACATGGCGTGCCAGCACGGTGTGAGTCAGTTCCAGCTGGCTGGGAGACTTTTACGGCTTAGCCATTTCGTGGCGGAGCTGGCCAAGTCAGCGGCGTATCCCGAATATCATTGGCTGAAATAGTCGCGCTGTACGTCTTCACGCAGGGTCAATGCTGTCTGAGTAGAACATTGCCAGAAAACATTCGCCAAGAGGAAGTGTTGGTCCGAGAAGCGTAAGCGTCGCACGAAAAATCGCGTTACTGCTGCTATCTCCCTGCGCCTGCTCAAGTTCGATGACGCTGGAGTGCCTTCGATTCATCCAGCGCTGCAGGAATCATGGCTACTCAACGGCGCTGTTCTGTTGGAGTTCTCATCGCCGTACCGTTGGAGGGTTGGTAAATTTCGTATTAACTTCAGGTGCCTTTTTGGTTGACTTGGCAATAGATGAAGGTTCAGTTATAACCGAGGTAAACTTTTCGTTTGAACAGCTCAGCCAATATCGTATCTGCCCAACGGAAAGATGGTCAGGCAAAAATGTAACAACCAAATTGGGCATTGACGCGTGCAGACAAGAATCAAGCGAAAATTTTTAGGCAGCCCCCGCACCAGTGGTGCGGAGGTGATTCCACTTCGAGAGGTAGTACCCGTGGTGCGGACCATTTGCCTGAAGAGGAAATGGTGTGGAACAAACGGGCGGTTCTGGTACAGTGTCACAAAAGTGCTGTTCTGCAGGTTTCTCGGTTTTCTTGATGCGCCCAGCTTCGGACAATGCCCAACCTGAACCGACGCACCACTGGTGCGGATGGAAAAATCCGCGAAGACCATTTTTTGGCCAAAAGAACACGGCCAACGATTCGTTCCGACCACCGTAACCCGTTTTTGACTTCCTCACTTCAGGGATGTAGCCGCACAGCTCTCTCTGTGTGTTTGCCTCAAGGCTTACAAGTAATGCTGGTTGGCTTAGGCTCAATGGGCTTTGACTGTGTAGGTCATACTTGTGCTCCATCTTGTATCGGGTCACGACCTTTATAAAACTTAAACTTAAACTGAGTAGAACATTGCCTTGCTGGCGGAAAACTACCTCTGCATGACTCAAATGGAGACGACGTGCACGTGCTCAATACACTCGGAACCCTTTTTGGCACTGAATTTGCAACATTCAAAACCGAAACGGAATACTGAGTATGCAACACTTCTGCCATGTAGGAAGAAGACCCTTTGACCCATGGTACCTCAAATATGGGTGTGAAGCTTCAAGGCTAGTCTGCGTTCCATGTTTCAAATAGTTCAGCTTGCTCCGACAATCTTGTTATAAACAAGTATAAGTTTTGGTTCCACTTGAATCACATAAAAAATGGCTACCCAGAAGGGTTGAAGCGCGTCAACTACGATTTAAAGACCGATTTCGCTGAGGAGCTTCTTCCAACGTGGAGGCTCTTCATCGAAAATGTATGTAACAGGTGTTACCAGCACTCCACTTCCACCGGCCTGCGTTGAAGAAACAAACATGGTGAACAGAAAGAGTTGACATAGAGGCATCGTAACGTCAGTGTGACATACTGGATCTGTTAGTATGGTTGATAGAGCAGCTGAAAACAATCTCATATGCCCCACTCACACGCCCCTCCCAACCCTCCCCACCTTGCGCAGCTCCCTGATAGAGGTGTAGATCTGCGCGTGAGGCACCACCACGGTGGCAGAGAAGTTATCCACCTTGACCCCTGCTAACCACTCTACACCCCTCTCCAGCTGAGCCACTCACCTTGCGCAGCTCCCGGATAGACTTGTAGATCTGGGCACGCGGCACCACCACAGTGGCCGAGAAATAGTCCACCTTGATCAAGCACCGCTCCCAACCACTCTACAGCCCTCCCCACCACCCCACCTTGCGCAGCATCGCCCTGATGGAGGTGTAGGTTCGCGGAAATGTCGATCAGCCAATTTTGGCCTCCGTGGGTTTTTCTCCCGAAATCCATACGCAAAGTCCCCAAACCCACCAGAAACGTCCCACAAATTTTGTGACACAAATGTGACGCCGTCCCCCCTGCTCACATTCCAACTACATCGACCCTCGGACCGCGCATTTCCCGCGTCCATCGCGGCGCTCGTGGAACACAAAGGGCGACCCGTAAAAAAAAAACACTTCCGCGCCCAACCATTCGCGCTTCCGTCATACGCGCTATTCCACAATGTTGTCCATCCCTGTACACTAATGCACCACACCACGTACGAAGCAATGTGCAGAATTGCACACTACGCTTTATCCACACCACACAACAGTGTCTTTCATCCTCACACTCACGTGTTGCGCACAATGATCACGGTTTAATACTATTCTACTTAAAAAAATGCACGTCCGTGAGCGCGTCCCACATGTCACTAGAACCTCTACTCGCACAGCAAGAACTTGTTGAGCAGCATCACCTTCTTGTTCACATAGGACCGGCATATGTGCACCACCCGCTTGATGCACTCCACGTCGACCACAGCGTACCTGGTGTCCACCCGCCCAGGAGACAGCTGCAGACATGTAGTGACTGGGCATTGCCCTGCCGCCTCATAATACTTGACATACACGTACGCTCCTTCCTCTCCTTCTGCGTTCTTGGTACGGAACACGCATAGGCACGTAGCGTACCACTCCTTGACCTTCTCCTTCTTCTCGTCTGTCTTCACCGCCACATCAGAGAACCAATTCTCCGATGGGCTAGCCTTGACAAAAGTGCCCTTGGCCACCAGCTTGTCAGATGATTATATATTGCTGATGCATATATGTAGGCTGTAGTGGGGTAGCCCATAGGGGGTACAACCCAATTAGGGTTGGTACTTGTACTTCTTTCATTCCATAGTGCATCATTTCCTCGCCTCTATCTCAACATGGTATCGAGAAGGTTCCCTAGTGAGAACTGTTCCTAGGGCCCACCTACTATTCCGTCCTGCCCGGAGGGCGCTCTGCCCTAGCTCA